GGGATGACTAACATTGGGGAGTTCAATGTGATGAATGATGTTTATGAGTGGAACATAGACATGGAAGTCACCTGGGGCCAGTTCTATGCAGTTGGAAGGAGATGAGGGGAAGATGAGCCAAGAAAAAGTATGTACAATACAAACTGCCTTGTATGATCCCATTTATTTCAAATTATATGTTTGGAGGTATGTATGAAACATGCATAAAGAATTGTATAATAGGATGGTTATTAAAAGGGCTGTTGGTGCTTATCTCATTGGGCGATTACAGATGACTTATTTTAGGGTTTTTTATTGTTATTTTTTACTTTGAATTGTGTATTCTTTGCAGTTTAATAAAAATGTGTGATTTGTATAACCAGATACTTTTGTTGTGTGAAAAATAACTTGTTAAATGAGTTCTTGTTTATAGAAGTAACTCAGAAAGGGATTAGAATTTTTATCCTTTGCTGAGCTGGTGAGGAGCTGATCCGGTACTTTTCCCATTGATTTGCTAATACTACTATATGCAATGAAAAAATTGAAGAGGGGTGAATCTGATAGACAGGCTTTCGAATTAGAGCCCATATCTTAGCTTTCTCCTACTGCATTCTCTTCCTGGAAGTCTCAGTGACTCTCAGACTGAGGGTTTTATCTTTTAACTGCAGGAAAGTGTTTGGTTTGCACCCAGACAACCTGGTAGTGCTAATGAGGCAATTCCCTTTGGAAGCAGCCCTCAATCAATGAGGGATGAGAGTTAGTGGGTAAATATCTCAGCTTTCTTGCCCATGGGTAAGACACATCTCAAGTTTATACACACAAGTCCAATAGGCCTTACCTCACCTGACTACATCAGTGTACCTCATATTAGCCTCTCTTCTTGCTTACTTTCCATTTCTCTACCAGCACTTCCTGGTATCACTGACCCATCAAATTCTTGTCTCGGGTCTTCTTCCAAGAGAAACCAACTTGAAACACGGTCCCAGTGCTGTTTATCTGCCTCCTCCCAGGACTGTGGACAAAGCACTCACCTGCTTTCTGGTCCTCAGAGCACAGAACAGGCTCAGCAGCCTATTGGAAGTGGTATGTCATATGAGCACTTAATATTTGCAGTGGTGAAAACAAAATGGTGAATGTTGACAAAGAACTGCTTTTTCTTCTCTTCTCATCCTCCTGCTGAGTGAGGAACTTGTGACAAAATGACCCATAGCCCTGACTCATAGACCTGCTTTGCAAATGTTCTAAAGTAGGCCAGTCACCCAGGCCATAAGTGGCAAATTCCTTCATGAAGTTCTGTCTTTGAGCAATAGCGATCTTACCCATCCTCTGCCCTCATCTGCAAGTCATCTTTCTGTTTCCTGAGCCAAATTTCAAAGGGCTTAAGTGACTTTTCTATTTTGCTCTGCAATGTAGTGCACATACTCAGTGGCTCATGGCTGTGCAGCTGTTGTTGAGGGCATGTGGTAGATTTCATTCTTAACTGAAACACACACCACATTAGCTGTGGACCCTCCAGCTGAGGGCTAAGTGAACCCAAAGGCAAACTGTTGGAGTGAATGTGGACCTCCATATGTTAGTGCTTCTGACTGTGGTAGAAAGGCACAAAGGGAGTCTGCCTTTGACAACAACCTTGAAGGCAGCAGACTTCTCCCTACACATCTTTGGGCCAATTTCCTGAGATGTAGTGCCCGAGGCAGTGTGACTTGTTCAAGGGGAGGCAAGGGATGGGAACTTGGAGATCATTGTTGACTGAAAGGTTCTTAGGAAGACCCCACTCTCATTGCTTGGGGGCCATTCTTTGATGTTTCTCCTCTTCCTCTTGACCACCTCCCCTCCTTCCCCTTCCTTCTTCTTTATCTTTATCGCTATCATTTTCTTTGAAGGAATCCATTTATTAAAGTGTTTTTAAATCACAAGAATGTTTACTTTTAACACCAATCTTAGTTTAATTTTCAAAAACCATTTCTAAGACTTGAGTGGTGATTTAAATTCATGAGTAGCACAAAATAAATATCAGCCAGACCTCATTGAGAATGTTGCCTTGGGGAAGCAAGAAACAGTTATAATGATGCAGGAGGAATTAATGGACCAGATTTCCCCGATATGAGTGGGAATGATCCTTGTGATATCTATAGAAAATGAATTTTCTAAGATATGCATGGGAGGATGGGATGTGGAAGAAGATTTTATTTGCATGGAGTTATATTTTTCAGGTTACAATGTTCCATTTCCCCCAAGCCAGTTCTGAAAGAGGGGCAGCTGGGAGTTTAGCAAACCAGAAGCAGGGCCTGTGTCCAGAGTTTTCGTTCCATGTTGTAGCTGGTGTGGTTTAGCATTCAGGCCAGATTTCAGTCATCAGTCCATGTGTGCCATGTGGGTACAGGGGAGAGCATCCCCTTGCAGCAGGAGTCCTGAGAGAGAGAGGGAGTGAGGGACAGAAGGAGAGAGAGAGGGTCCCAGGTTTAATTCCGGTCAAGGGCATGTATGTTGGTTGTGGGCACATTCCTAGTGGGGGGTGTGCAGCAGGCAGCTGGCCGATGTTTCTCTTTCATTGATGTTTCTGGCTTTCTATCCCTCTCCCTTCCTCTCTGTAAAAAATCAATAAAATATATTTAAAAAGAGAGAGAGAGAAAGAGAGAGAGAGAGAGAGAGAGAGAGAGAGAGAGAGAGAGAGAGAGAGAGAGAGAGAGAGAGAGAGAGAGGGAGGGAGAGAGAGAGCGAGCGTGCGCGAGCTGGGGAACTCCATCCTGGACATTAATTTGTTCCCAGATATGACTTGCAGACAGGTAAGTACTCAGCCCTTACTGGGCATGCATCTAAAATGCATTTGTCTAATCCCTTCCCCTACCCATCAGCAGGGAATAAAAGCGGATAATGTTAAATGCAGCTTTTTGGCAAAGTTGTGGGTCTCAAAAGAACTGTTGGCCCAGAAAGAAACTCACTACAGACTGATTCATTTGCATTTCAGCATAACCATTATTGCTTGTCTCATTTTCGGTTCTTATAAGTATATTTCCAGTAGGACATGATCTCACTCATTTAGGGGAAATGACGAACAACATAGACTGATGAACAAGAACAGACCCAGAGACAAGGAGGCATGGATCAGACTATTGGACCTCAGAGGAAGTGTATGGGAGGGTGGGGGTAAAGGGGAGAAATCAACCAAAGGACTTGTGTGCATGCATATGAGCCTAACCAATGGTCAAGGACAACAGGGGGATGGGGGCATGTGTGGGGAGGGGTGGGGGATGGGAATGGGGGGATGAGGACAAATATGTGATACCTTAATCAATAAAGAAATTAAAAAAAGAAAAAAAGAAAAAAAGAAAATAAATGGCATGCCTATACTATCTGGCCTGCCTTTTCTTTCCTTTTCTGTTAAATAAACCAGGTTATTATAATGGCATCAATAGGACCTGGGTTTAATTTCCAAATGTCACTTTCTCTCATTTTTTAAATAGTATAACAATATCTATTTCACAGAGCTACCAAAGACTGAAGGAAGCAAAAAAGCATATTTTAAATCATGTAGCACCATATAAGCTGCATTGTTATCTCAGTTGGATTTGGATCTGTATCTGTAAGAAAGCATCATTCTAGGAGATCATCGACTTCAGCTTTTTCTGTATAAAATATATATATTGTATGTTTCCCTTTTGCATTATGTAAGTCTTTATAAGTTTTCTGAAATTTTATTTTTGAAACATAGGCCATGAATGAATTAATTAAATGAATGAATGGGTCAATCTGTGGAGGTATCAAATCCAACACTTCTACTACACTAACAAAATGTGCTAAGCAAACGAAGTCAGAAGAAAGGTTTTAGTGTGTGTCTTTGCTTTAAAAATGGCACAAGGTTCTGTGAAATATATGAACCTAAAAACATAATTCTTTTACCTCTTTTCTGAGTTCTGCCTAAAATTATGAATTTTTAAACCCCCAAATGAGGTTTAAAAAGAGGATTAACAAATATAAGAATTTATGTTATTAACAGTCTTCAGAAGTGAGTAGCTCTAAGCAGAGTACAATGATCTTTTGGTAAACTCTGCTTCCTGTAGAAAAGAAAGAAAATCAAATCATCAGCATAATAGAAGAATAAATCAGATGCACATTTCCTTGCAGACTAACTTCCCTTTCTTCAACTAGCCTCCTTTTGCTGCTGTGCTGTCTGCACCTGCCCTCCTCAAACCCAGGACTGAATTTTATAGACCTCAGGATGGAGCTATTTTCACACTGTTTTGATTGTCACCTGTCTGAAGGGCTCAGTCAGTGGTTTAGGGAGAGTGAGGGAAACACGTTCTGGATTGGGGTTCTGGTGCGTAGACCTGGTTACAAAAGGTTTGGTTTGTACTTAACCCCCTCCAGCAGACTGAGGGGGTGCCTCAGGGCACAACTGGAAGCCAAACTCCTTTCCTGAGGGTGGAGAAACATGCAGCTCTGCTAACTACCAGCAACCTAATGAAATGTTTTTTCATAAGGTCACCAATGAGGTTTTCATTTAAAATCTGGGACTTTACTCCAAACGCCCAGATACTTAAATTCATTAGCCATTTCAAAGAGGCCTGTGGTAAACAGGAAGTGCTCTAATGAAATTGGGCATTCAGTGTCCACCTCAGGACCCACGTCACGTGAGACTTGACCAGTTTTCTTTTGGTAGACTTTATAGAGAGTGGTATATTTGAGATGAACTGAATAGGGATGAAAGAACAAAATTATTCAAAGAAATAGCCCCAAGGGAAAGTGGTGACAGGCAAAAGAATCAACAGAAGATTAGTTTTTATTTTATTTTTTTAAAGAAAAATACTTAACTACCCTATGAGTGTCACACAAGCATGTTTAATTCCAAACATCTGCACCTAGCAATGGTGGGAAATGTGGATAGGTTGAATCGGAAAAAAACAACAACAAAAAACCCAAAATAAAACAAAAACAGCTTTAGGTTGAATCTGGGTAATTAAAATAGTACATATTAATTTCTGCAATGAAAACTGACCATTTATCTTGGTTTCAACTTGCAGCTCCTGGCTAAGCACAAAAACTTGCAGTGGGATAAAGTGCTGCAGCTGGAGGAGGTGCAGACCAAACTGGGGGTCAGTCTGGAAGAAATGCTGTTGATTACAGAGGATGCTCTTCACCCTGAACCCTACAGCCCTGAGGAGGTCTGCAGGTGTCTGGGAGTCAGCCTGCTGGAACTTCAGACCCAAATTCTGAGTCCAAATACTCAGGATGGTGAGTGTGCCAGAGAAAGTAAGAACGTGGGTTGTTTCCCCATTCACAGCTGAAAAGTTTACAATTTCCACAAGGATCTCACTGATTTTGAAGCATGCTTGAGGGATTTGGAGAATGGATGTGTTTTGGCAAATTACCTAGATTCTTGGCTTCATTAAATTCATCTTTTCACTCATTAACAGACATTTCCTGGTCTGCTGCATGCCAGGTATTCTGGTGAAGCAAAGCTGAATCATACTTTGTCCCTGCCCTCCAGAAGTTCATAATTCCATAAGCATCTCTTTTTTCATCTTTTTTACCCCTACCTACTTTTCTGATTATTATACCTCTTAGTATATAAAAAGGTTTAATCTGAACAGTGCTCATAACTGCTGTGGAACAAACTTGGGAGCACCATGAAGTCTTCACTGCTTAGGTTGAGACTTGTGGACCACTTTAGTATGGAAGCTCTTTCTAATTGCATGCTGCTTTCAAGTAATTTTGTTTTTATACTGATAACATCAGATACTGAGAAGACCAGATAAGGTTGGAGGTATAGGATAGAGCCTTGGAGTGTCTTTTTTTCTTAGTAGTAAAAGTTGTTTATTTGTGGGGAGTCAAAGCTGGGGGCAGGTACATCTAAGTAAGATTCTTTAAAAAAAAATCATCTCAGAGAGAGAAAGGGAAGGAGAGAAAGAGGAAGGGAGGGAGAGATGGAGGGAGGGAGGGAGGGAAGAAATGTGTGTGTGTGTTGGAAGAGAGAGAGAGAGAGAGAGAGAGAGGAGAGAGAGAGAGAGAGAGAGAGAGAGAGAGAGAGAGAGAGAGAGAGAGAGAGAGAAAGAACATTGATGTAAGAGAAACTCCAATAGGCTGCTTCCCACATTTGCTCTGACCAGGCATTGAACCTGTCATCTCCTGGTGTATGAGACAATCCACTGAGTCACACAGGCCAGGGCTCCAGCGGTTTCTTGAGGTAGAGTTGTGAGGGTGGGAGCTTAGCACAGTGATCAACCTCAGCACCCCATTTCCATTCCATTCAGTTCAGTTCTGCAATTGGTTATTGAGTGCCTGCAGTGCCTGTCAAGTAATGAAAGGCTGCAACTAATGACAGATTTGGATCAGATAAGGGAATCATTTGAGGACTGGGAGAAGGTTCTGGTTTCCAACACTGTTAGATCCAGTTTAATGTGACGAACATTTACTGAGTCTCTAGAACTGGGATGAGAAAGCTGGCCTATAGGCTTCATCAGACTTGCCACCTGTTTATGTAAAATAAACTTTTGCCAGAACACAGCCATATTGGCCTGGCTGCTTTTGCACTGCAGCAGTACCGTTGAGTAGTAGTGGTAGAGGGCCTCCATGCCAGAAAGGCAGTGGACCAAAACCAGTCTGCCTGGATTAGGATCTTGGGCTTCTTCACTCACTAGCTGTGTAACCGTTACTTTAGTTTTACATGAAGTAGGCATAACAGGAATACCTCCATTAGAGGAGTAATCTGTTTAATGTACTAAGAACAATGCTTGGTAACGGGGTTGTTCATAAATGTTAGCTTTCTTTATTATTTCTGCTTTCCTGTCCTCTTCCACCACTGCTAGGTTCTGAAGCTGAGCTTGGGAACACAGAGGTAAACACAACCGAGCACCATTCTTAAGGAGTTTGCAAAGTAGTGATAGAAACTGATAAAGAAAAAGCTGATCCAGCATAGAGTAATGATTGCTGTGGTGGAGGTACACTTGGGTTCAAGAGGCGAGAAAAGACAGAAGTCAGAGCTGGCTTTACTAAGGAGATAGCAATTTGACAAAAGTTAGAGAATAAATACGAGTTTCCAATGTAGACAAGTGGTCTGAAAGACTTCCAGGCAGACAAAAGACCAGGTGCAGAGGCAGGGAGGAGTGAGAGAGGATTACATGTCCAGAGAGATACAGCTAGTTGTGTGTTCCTTAAAAATAATATACATGGTGCGCCTGGCTAGTGTGGCTCAGTGGTTGAGTGTCAACCAATGAACCAGGAGGTCACAGTGAAGAGGTTGGGTAGGATATTGGATAGGGAGAGTTTCCAGGGAAATAACCTGTATTCTTTGATTTAAGACATGAGCCAATTTCTTTAATTCAGCAAACATATATATATATATATATATATATATATATATATTGACTTCATTGGGCTGAACTATGCTAGATGCTTGGATACAAAGATAAGTAGTATGTGATCTCGACCTTATAGTGACCTAGTGTCAAAGAGGGGAGAGTGCCACACAGCCATCACAGTAAACAACCCTCACTGCAGTGAAGGTCTTTGTCAAAAGTCTTAGAGTCTGGAGGAAAGATTGACTGCATGTCTGGAAAATGTGGCAAGTGAAAATTTGGTCTATGAATGGTTTGCCTCAAAACAAGAAAAATTCTTTTGGGACATTTTTACCTGAAAGATGGGGGAAATGTATAGCTAGCGATGGACATTACTTAGAATAAAGCACTTTTGATGTTTCTCTTGAAATTATTGTGTTTTCTTTGATTACAAAATTTGCCATTATTTACTGGTATACCTAGTACATGCATTGCTCTTTATGTATAAACTAGGGGCCTGGTGCATGAAATTCATGCAAGGGGAGGGCGGCTGCCTGGTGCCTGCACATGCAAATTAACCCTCCATCTTTGTTGGGTTAATTTGCATACTCACTCCTGATTGACTGGTGGGTGTCATGAAGTGATGGTCAATTTGCATCTCTTTTATCAGTGTAGATTTAAGTTTCCCCCTGAAGACAATGATTACATAGTTTTTGTAAAAAGCGATGCATACTAAATCTTTCTCTAGAACAACTTCCCTACTGGCTCACTTGCATCACTTCTTATAACTTACTTTTGTTTTGTTTACATTCAATATATTTATGTTGAATGGATGAATCAAGTTTATATTTTTCAAAAGGCTACCCCTTTTGCTTTTGGAATGAATAAATTTTAAAAACCTATGAACCTAAATTAGTGTGTGGGATTTTAGATTATCCTAGAATAATGTCACTTGATTTAATCTCTGGATCCAACCATCTAACCTCAGCCAAATTTCCAGCTGAATTCTCTTGGCACTCATTTTTAACTTTAGGGATTAAAATCCTTTTATATCTTTGCCTTGTTTCTTCTGAGTTTGTGCTTTGGTTGGTCTACAACATTAAGCAAATGTTTCTCTTAATGCTCTGGAAGATGTGATTCTTATTGAATGTGGCACTGTATGTACTTAGATTGTATGAATGGAGGCAAAGATGACATATACTTAGTTTTAACATGAACTAATATTCTGATGATGGAATATGATATCAAAGGTACGCGGTATTCGATGTTCCCTTAATTCCCAAATTGTTTTCCTTCTTTACCTGGATATGAGTGTGAGTTGGGAGATATTGACCTTGAGATGACAGTGTAGGGAAAGATGTTTATAATCAAATTGTGGCTTTCAGCCTCTGCTAAGCCATTCAGAATTTCAAATGCTCATGCACAGTTATTATTTTCTCTTTCCAAATTTATAATAATTAGATTTAGAAATTCTTAGAGGCCATTGAAATTCAACACACAAACACACACAAAGTAAAATCCTCAAATCCTTTAGATATTGTTTAGGATGGCCACACTCTACCAGTGAGAACTGGCTAGGAATAATTTAAGGATGATGAGGCAGGTCTTGCCCACAGGTAGAAATTATCTAAGGGTGTAGTACAAAGTGTGGGTTTCTAGAGGCTCAGGGGCCAGGCTGATTTGGGAGACGTGTGGCCAAAGAGGAAAAGAAGCTGTGGCCAGAGCCAGAAGAGATGGGCATGTGTATCTAGCATAGGAGATAAGCTAAAACACATACTGGAGGATCAACAAAGAAGCCCTTGAGGAACTAAATGGAAACTGAGGTGGAAAATAGGTTAGGTTCTTTGGGTGCCAGTTTATGAAAGTGGAAATTAAAAAAAAAATGTTTTATTGATTTTAGAGAGGGTGAGGGAGAGAGAGATTGAAACAACAGTGATGAGACAAAATCATCAATAAGCTGCCTCCTGCACTCTCCCTACTGGGGACTGAGCCTGCAACCCATGCATATGCCCTAACTGACCATGACCTCCTGGTTCACGAGTCAGTGCTCAATCACTGAACCACACTGGCCAGGCAAGAAAGGGGGGATTTATTAGTAGCATTCTTCTTCCTCCTCCTCCTCCTCCTCCCCCTCCTCCCCCTCCTCCTCCTCCTCCTCCTCCTCCTCCTCCTCCTCCTCTTCTTTTTCTTCTTCTTCTTCTTCTTCTTCTTCTTCTTCTTCTTCTTCTTCTTCTTCTTCTTCTTCTTAATAAATCTTTATTGTTCAGATTATTACAGGTGTTCCTCTCCCCCTCCCCCCTTTAGCTCCCCTCCACCTGATTCCCAACCCCACCCCACACCCTTACCCCCACCACTGTCTTCATCCATAGATGTAAGATTTTTGTCCAATCTCTTCCCACACCCCTCAGACCCCTTTCCCCCTGTGAATTGTTAGTCCAATCCCTTTCTATGTCCCTGATTCTATTATATTCACCAGTCCATTTTGTTCTTCAGATTTTTTTTTATTCTGTTGATTTTTAGATTCGCTTGTTGATAGGTATGTATTTGATGCCTTTTTGTTGTTTATAGTTTTTTACCTTTACCTTTTTCTTCTTTCTCTTCTTAAAGAATACCCTTCAACATTTCATGTAATCCTGGTTTGGTGTTAATGAACTCCTTTAACTTTTTCTTAGCTGTGAAGCTCTTTATCTGACCTTCAATTCTGAATGATAGCTTTGTTGGGTAGAGTAATCTTGGTTGTAGGTTCTTATTGTTCATCATTTTGAATATTTCTTGCCACTCCTTTCTGGCCTGCATAGTTTCTGTTGAGAAATCAGCTGATGGTCATATGGGTACTCCCTTGTAGGTAACTAGTTGTTTTTCTCTTGCTGCTTGTAAGATTTTCTCTTTGTCTTTTGTTCTTAGCATCATGGTGTGTTCCTCTTTGGATTCCTCCAGTTTGGGGTCCTGTGCATTTCC